CAACTAGTTGTGTTATTTCTACGTTGTGTAAAGTCCCTGGGTATAATTTCAACAAAAAGCTACATTATGAAAAATAAAATATTCTTACCTGAATACTGTCAGCTAATTGAGGGTGTTCAGTGTCAATCCTACAGATGTGTATTGGCCATGCAAAGCTTTGCTCATGCATGTGGGCTTCCTTAATCCAAATCACACCTTTTTCCTGCCATGACATAGTGGTGGGATCCATAGATAAGTGAAGATGAGGGGGGTTGCTCCACTCTACTAGGTTTGTGGAGAGTCGGAGCCAGGAACCACGCAGCAGCTGGGACCTTCTGTCCCCCTAATCCTGGACCTGTAAGGAAGGGAAACCAAAGGCAGACCACAATGAGGAACTGCTGAACCCTTCCTACTGTCCAAAGACAGAACCACTATGGAGCATCTTCTTTTCCCAGGGCGGGAGGAACAAAGTGATGATTAAGCTACTGATCTTAACTGGGGGAAGAGAACAAGTCCAGAGCACAATTTGTACCAACTAGCATCCCCTCTTTTTCTGCTTCTCCTTTGAGGGCATAAGTGGGATTTAAGTGGTACATAGACTCTGCACAGGAATGAATTTCACCCTTATCATATCACTTCATATATAACTAACTGAGAATTTGCGGAAATTGTGCCTGACCCCATTACTGAAAAGGTATATTAGCCCTTTGCCATGGAGGCTCACAATTTTACAGATGGTTATGGATCCTTGATTACTCCTGGAGGCCCAGACAGCTTTGATGTTCAGAAGTACCTTTTATCATCTTCACTTTGTGTGACAATTGCCACCTTTTCTCTCTGATACAGACCTTGTCACAATTATCCGCGTCTTTGTCATCTTTAAATTGGATGTAATTCAAAGCGCTGATTTTGATCTTTAAATCTTCATGTAGTTTAGATCCCTGTAGCCTGAGTGACTGCAACTCTCCCCAGATACAATTGCAACAGTTGAATGATCAGCTGAAATGCATGAGAGCAGTCCCTCAATGTAAATGTCTGGAGTATGGTAGCAAGGTAATTTCTGCAGAGGACCCTTCACTTCAGTATTTACTTTCACTTTTGTAAGTGATCCATCAGAACTCTAATTTGTTAACTATAGAGTAAAAAGCTCATTTGTTTGCCCAGGCTTTTGCCCAAGGTAGGTTGTTGGGGAAAAGTGTTAGGACTTTAAAGAAGGTTTTTTGATTATTGTGTTTGGAGATATTATTTCTGAGTTTCTGCTCCTTTTTATGATGAGTCCTTTTATGTAGTCAGTTGCTGGGGGTATGATGTTGAAAATTTTATTAGCTGTATCTTAGTTGCTGTAACTATGCCCAGAATTTTAGACAATGAGTGTATATTTCTCTTTAAAAAAATAAATCTGTCTAAAGAGCTAAGTATTATTAATAATAGACAGTGGAACTAGGTTTCAGAGCTAAAGCTTAATCCATTATGGGCACCTTTACAAAGGCTTGGTGACATTCATTGATCAGGTTTGTGATTACCTAGTCCAGAATATTCTTTGCTCCAAAATGCACTGTGTTAAAGATCTTTTAAAGTAGAGTCTCTTCTCCCAGACTTCTCAATGTTGTGTCTGATAACCATGGGTCCACATGACTCAGTCTGATCTTATCAGAGACTCCCAAAGTGTTCTTCTCTTGTACAGACACCCTGTTTTGTTTCACAATAAAACAATATTCTCACTATCCACTGGTGCCTGTATTTTGAATGCTCGCCTCTCTGTCTTGCTAGTGGGTTTGTTAAATACCATCATAATATACCAATTTTCTCTTGAATAACATGTTAAGAAGTCACCTTGCAAGGATAAATTCTTAAGTATGATGCAGTCAAATATAATTATAATTGTTGTTATAGACATTATTTGTAAGACCAAAAAATCAAAGAGGAGAGAAAACATAAAATGAAAATAGAATATTGAGTAACCATCTTGCAAAAATTACCTAGTCAGTATGGTTCATTATCTTAGAAACCTATTACAGAAGATCATAAAAATTATACACATAATAAAACTTACAAACACCAATGACTAGAGATCTGGGCTTGACCTTTTTCTTTTTCTTGAGTTGATAAATATCACTACCCAATGTGTCAGAGTGACTGTGTATCTCCTTTGTTCTCTGTTTTAACTCCCTGTGAACCACACAGCATAGTGTGGGAATGGGATAGGATATGGTATGATTAGTAGTAGTAATACTCACCTAAATCTCAATCCTTCTACATTTTGAATTCTAGACATATGCACACTTTTATAACTTCCCCTAAGAGAAGTTCACTGGCCCACCTATGGATGGTCAGCATTTAATCAACCAGATAGTGAATGTCTCCAGATCTTGGGAGTTTGAAACAAAGCCTACAAGGCTAGCCTACTACCTTGACCAGTTATTATCTGACCCATGAAAACCAGCCAACAAGATATATAATAGTCAGCTTTGAATTACCAGGCTATAATAAGACTTGGAAAGATTAGATAATTATTGGTAAACTTTGATTACATTGTACACACACAGACTGATGGAAAAATATTTCCATCAATAAATCAAATTTTCAGATAGGCAAAGTAAGAAAAATGCTTATTAACTTATTGGAGTTTGATTTAAGAATATTTACTTCATATACTTTAATATGTGATGTTGACAGTTTGCATTTTAACAGTTTATAAAGTTTTAGCTTTTTGAATCACAGTGTCTGCTGCTATTAAATAATTTTTGTCTGACTACCTCCATAAGTTCCTGTAACTGTGAAAATTTTGATCGATAAAAATAAAATATGCTTAAGACCCATAATTTTGCCCAACTGCGAACATTTAAATTGATAAAAAGCAGAACAAAATGCTTAAAACTAAACATTGATATTATTCATCTAAACTATAAAAAAGTAAAAATCGAATTCTGCCAACCCTAGCTATTATTCAGTTTTGACATTTCTGGTGACCACACAAGCCACTCAAGTTGGAAAGGCCTGTGTAGAAACCAGAGCCCCCAAATTGAATTATAGTCTTGTAATTCAAAATGTGGTTGTATTTATTTCATAAAATATATAAATGTGACAATTTAATCCAATTGAGGAAGTAAGCCATTTATGTGAAGAAGAAACCAAGTGCTTAGTCTTGGAATAATATGAAATGAGGAGTGAGGCGATGAATTATCCAGATTTGAGAAACCACTCCCACTTAATCAACCATTGAGGAGGCTTCACCTTTGTTTCACCAGAGAGGCTCATAGCTCCCACCCAGTATTTCCATCTTCCTTCAGTGTTCACCTCTTCCTTTGGCAATGTGAAGAAAGAAGGGTACGAATGATCACCATCAATGAGGCCTATCTCAGGAACAGTTGAGCACTGTTGCAAAGTCTGATGTGGGTTAATTTCTTATTGTTATCCAGTTAAGTTGGCCTACCGTGAGGGCAAGGCCCTCTGTACCACTTAAGCTCCATATAGGAGCTATTCTGGGGGATCTGCTGCAGAGATGATCCGTAACTCTTGATAGTGGTGGGGGATACAATGTAAAGGTTTGGGGACACATGAACACCCCACACGTTGCCTCTGGCCTCTTTCTTACTCCCCTTGCACCTCCCGCACTTGCTCCAAGCCAGCACCACCTTGCCCCCACTCCCTTCACAGCTCCTTTCCCACTTACTTCTCTCATCGCCTCCCTGCTGTGGGCACGGCATGGGCTGGAGCGAGCTCCAGACACTGCAGATAACTGTGGCTGCAGGTGAGGAAGGGATGAGACTCAGAGGGCTTCCCTGTGCCCCCTCTGGTGGAGCTGCACTGCCAGCCCCATATCTCTTCCCTGCTCTGGGCACCTCCTAGCAGGGCTCAGCATAAGTGCTAGGTGTCGGTGCCTTTCCCAACCACATCCTTCTCAGCCATGCTCAGCCTGACTCCCACCCTAGAAGAAATCTGGGGGGGCACATGACCTCGCGTCCCCCGTCGCCTCTGGTCTGCTGGCATATCAACCTGTATCTGCTGTACCCCAAGGCTCCTACACCCTGCATAGCCCATTATAGAAGGCTAAATTGTGGGACACATGAGGTGGGCTACAGGAGGGACTTTTGTTCCATTTTTATACAGGTGCAGTAACCCCAGTACCTTGAGTGTGTGGCAGAAAGGGGTTGTAGATGCTATTCCAGTAGGACCCTGGGAATCTTTCCATTGACTTCAACTGGCTTTGGATCAAGGCCATAGATTGTAAAGTGATTAAAGATCCTTAGGGATGAAAGGTGCTATACAATGCTACTTTGCACTTCTACTCCAACATCCACCTAAGAATCTCAGGGTGCTTTACAAATTTAGTCTCACAACACCCCTGTGAGGCGCATAAGTAAGCATTACAGTAGGAGCAACAGGGACTGCTCTAGTCAAAGTTTTATTAGGCAAGTACCATTCTGTTTCATATGCCTTACCATTCTGACCCCGTTTACAGTTACTTGCAACTTTCTGAAATGTTAACCTTTGGGGCTGAAAATTTCCAGTCTGGTTTCTGCTGGAGGGTGAATTTTTTTGTTTGAATGGGTGAGCAAAACAGTTTATTTATGTATTTGATTATGTACAGAGTGGGAGAAAACCATATCTTTCCCCCTTAGAAACAAAACCAACCCTTCCCCCTTTTATTTATATAGGTCTAGGGCCAAAACGGGGGGGGGGGGTCATTGGAATTTAGCATAGTAGTCCTTTTAGACTGTCCTGTTGACAAATGGCCTGGAGTTGATCCAGGTATGACCTGGTCGAAATTGCACCCTGTGGATGTGCAATACCCTCCGGGGGAGGGGTGTTAGTAAAGCGTTTGAGGAGTAAAGGATGAGAGCGGAGTCGTAGCTCAAAGGTTTATAAGGAGAAAGTTACCCAGCATTTGCTACAAGCTGTGCTGTGCTGCTGTAGTGCAGAGGCCGAGGGAGGGGGCGATACAGGAGTGGAGGAAGGGAACGGCAACAGCCCAAACTTCTGCTGCCAAGAGGGGCTGGAACGGTGACAGCGGAGCGCGACTCCCAGGCCAGACCCGGGACGCGCCGCCACTAAGCTCCAGCTCCAGGAAAGGCAGCGGCGCATCACCTGCTGTCACACACAGACTCAGGAAACGCTGCGAGCGGTAGTGGGAGGGAGGCTCCGGCTCAGGTGCCAGTGATAGAGGCAGAGACCCGCCCCCGGGGAGCCGCTGGGGCCAGGGTAGGAGGACAGGCTGCCGCCGCTGGAGAATCCCTTCAATCCAACGCTTGGAAGAGGGAGGGGACGGCGCTCCAGTGAGCGATGTCCAAGAGCGAGCGAGGGAGAGGAAAGGGAGTGAGTCAGTGATCCACTGCAGCTCGCTGTCTGCTGCTGCTGCGCCTGCTGCTCAACTCTACCCGCTCTTTGCCTGGACATGTCTTGAAAAACTTGGATCGTTCCGTCCCTTTCCTTTCTCCCCACACCCACTTTCAAGTTTAAAAATCGAATGGGTACACGCCGAAATGCGGCCATCGGGATATGGGCACGGGCGCTGGATTTGCTACGCGTTGGGCATGTGCTGAAGAACAGAAGGGTGACAAAGTTCATACTTTAGACGCTTGACCATTTTTTTTAATTAAACAAAGTGTGCAGGGATCAACTAAACTAGAGTGGACTTTGGGAGACAAGTATTAAGTCCAGCTGGTCTGGTGAGTTCTTTGATGTTTGTTTTCCCTGGATTAAAAAAAATAAATAAATGTGTATATTTATGTTGTCCAGTAGCATAAATGGAAATATTTAGGCTTTAATGAAGTAGACACTACTGTGTTTGTATGGCTAGTGTGTGTGGGTATATACACCCACTCCTATGTATACCTATGTTTTGACCCCTCAACACACACATATATATTTCCCTCCCTTGATATAGACAAAGATATCGAGATAGCTCGGTCAAAACCTGTAAAATACAGAACCAATTTCAAAAGGCTTGTTGCAAAGATGTTCTACTGGCTTTTGCATTATTTTAAAGTGTAACTTGTTTTAGAAATGGTGCCTGTGGGAAGGAGAACGAAGAGTCCGGGACGATGTATTGTGGTGCAGCGCCCTCTAGCCTGCGCATTGGGTACAGCGGCTCCTTCCCCCTCCCCCCCAAGACTGCCAAGTTCAGCATTGTCCGGAGACACGAGGGACCGGGAGGAGCCCCCACTGCCCTCTTATCCCGCTGGGCCTCGCTCTAGAGGGGCTGCAGTTCTGTCTAGAACCATAAATGAGGTTGCGGGGTCTTTGCGTCAGGACGATTCCTGCCCTTCACTTTACAATCATTTCCATCAAGCCACTAAAAAGGCAACCTTGAGATATTTGTGAGTCGATTACTTGTGATCCGGTCCTGAATGTGTGAAGATTTAGTCACAGATCAGGCAGGAATCGTTGAGGCTCCCAGTGCTGCCGCATCGATTGATTGATTGATTTGGTAGGAAAAAACAGTGCACGGCGAATGCGTAATAAATGTGCTCCTCTAATCTTCTCTCGCTCTTTGCTTGCTTCCTGTAGCGATGAACTCCGGCTTCTTCCAGGCAATTAGGTTTTTCAGTGAATGTGCCGAGTCAGAATTCCCCAAACAAATGTTTGATCGTTATTAAGCGTTTATCATTTATTAATGAATGGAGATCACTCCAAGGAATATTTGGGAGTATTAATCTTTAATGTTATTTACATTTACACACCAGGACGATATCATTTTAGCTTTATCCCAAATGGCTATTTCTTTATTGATAGCATTTACTATTTCAAGGAATGTCTAGGAACTAAATCAAAGGTTTGGACCTTTTCAAAACCAATGCACCTTATAGCTAACGTGCAGTAGAATTTCGCAAACATTGTAAAAGATAAGACCTCAGGATCCCCTCAGGTAACCGCATCTTACATATGGTCATTTATATAAATAATTTGGCCAATCCCACCCATTGCTGTGGTTAAGATTTTCTGTCTCAGAGAACAGGGATACGTTTGTGTGTGTATGCATATTAGCTTGCATGCTATTGTTTACTAAACCGTAAATTGTACACTGTTACTACAAATAAAAGTACCAGCGAGCCCAGGGTTATAATTTCAGGTCAGTGTAAAAGTCCTTTCTTTACATGGTGTTCTGTCTCAATGTCTGCTTAACTGTTTATCCCCCCCACCCCATAACTTGTTAGAGACTTTTATGTACACAGCTACTGAATGATGAAAATTTAATTCAGCGGGGAGCCATGAAATACCTGACCTTAGTTTTTCCTCCCCTCCCAAAAAATCCTTTCTGGAGAGCTCCATATTGAGAACAATCTCTTTGGCTCCCATGATTTAGGTCTCCACTTATGCTTTTAAACACCCTAAACACTTGTTTCCAAGGTTGAGCGAATAAACGAGGGGCAAGAGAGATTATTACACTGAGCCAAATCTTGCTCTTTTCAGTGTAATCACTGTGGCTACTCTATGAGTAAGGCGTGCAGGATTTGGTCCGGCGTCGCTTACATTTTGGACTTGATCATCTTTATGCATAAGGTTTTATTTTGTTTTTGGTGTATCTTTGGACTTCCTTTTAGATATTTACAAATGTCCAGACTATTGTCTGAAGAATTCTTTTTTTTTCAAGTTTTAAATAAGCCGTCCAGTAAAATAACTGTACACAATGGAATACAAAGCTGTCCTTGTCTTCCAAGTTGGTATTTTTGTCTTTTCCGTCTTCAATTTCTGACCGGATAATGAGGAGGTTAGTGGTGTTTGGGCTACAGGGCGTAGTATGCATGCCGCTTTTCAGAGCTGGAGTTTGCAGAGTGTAGGTTTTCTTACCCAGCTGTGCATACAAGTGCCAGGGAAACACTCCCATTCGTTGCACTGGGAACTTTGTACTGAGTGGTGTGTTATCACTGGAGGAGGCTGATTTGGTTCTAGCCGGATTCCTTTTAAGGGTTCGTGGAATAAGCAGGAAACTATAAAGCAATTATGGTCTTGTAAATGAGACGAGATAAATTTAAATGCCGATTGCAATAATCTCGAATGGTTCTAAACAGCAACCTTCGAAGTTTTAATAAAAGAAACGATCCCCCGTTTTCAGTTTCTAGATTACTGACATCATACTCCGCTCTTCTCATTTTTTTAACTTTCAAGTACCAACAGAAGCATGTGTGCCAATAAGAACAAAAATTAGCAGGGGGAAGGTTGGTTTTTCACTGCCTCTGCTTACAGAAAGCTTTTTTTAAACAAAAACCAGTGAAATGAGTCCTGCCATCGAGGAGAGATAGTGGATCTTTTGATGTGAAGGGTATAATAATTTAGGAGCCAGATGGTTGGGAGCCCTGGAGTCTCTGCAAGTGTGGTTTAGGTTTTCATGCCAAGGAAATTAGTTCCGGAGGGGGGTTGTGGTGGCAGGCCTGGCCTGCGGAGGAATATAGAAATGCAGAGTGCAGCGGCCCGGGAGAGGGACTGGAGAGAGAGAGAGAGAAGGCGGCGAGGGGAGAAAGAGGGGTCGCTGGTCACCATGCGGCGCTGGGCGCCTACGAAGCCCCTCCACAAATCTTCTCCCGGCCGGCAATGAGAGGTGAGGGACGGGCGCGCCTGACTCTGGCGGCCTCTTTGGGGAAACTTTCTGGCGAGTTTGAGGCGTGGGGCAGAAGTTTGGGGCTGGGGATCCGAGAGAAAGGAGCGCAGCCGGCAGAGTGCAGAGCCTGCTGATCCCGGGCTGCTGTCTGCGGGCTCTGCTCCCACTGCCCCGCTCGCATGCAGCCCGCAAAGGCTGCAGCCCCTGGCCCCGGGGAGGGGACTTTGTCCTGCGAAGTTGGGCAGGGAGTTTGGGGGCAAGAGGGGGTGGACGGTGAATGGGAAGGTGCCTGTATGAACCCCACCCCCCCGGCGCTATCTCCTTCCTGCAAGGTTGATTGCAGCAGCCGCTCACTTTCTTGCCTCCCCCGGGATCGATGAGCATGGTGGGGGCTAGGGGGCCGGGGATAGGAGACGTGAGTGGAATAGTAAATCCCAGAAGTGAGCTTGGAAACAAGAGGCTGGCGCGGCGTCATTGGCCTGGATTCATTTGCTACACAATCAAATCAAAGCCACGATGCAGGGGCAGGGAGTATGGGGGGAGGGAGAAGACCTTGATGAGGTAAACCTGCGCTCCCGAGTCTCTTTTTCCTGCATGGCTCCAACAGGCCACGTTATCGCGGAAAATGTGAAAGATCTTCTCCAATTCTCACCCCTTCCAGCTACGCTTTAGAGACTTATTTTTGTGTGGCATGGTGGCTGTTTCTGTTCAGTTCATTATTAAGCTACCGTTTCTCTCGTTTTAATGCTTGTAAAAGGGTCTTGTTATTACGAGTTTAAATGAGCAGAGAAGTATTCGGAGACTTGGCTGTAATTTCCTCTGCAGGATTCTATTAAATTACGCCTAGGAAGAGAGGAGGTGATAATTTTGTACCCTGAAGGGAAGGTGTCTGTCTGTATGCATTATGCATTTAATGGTCCATTATAAACTTAATATCCATGGTAAGCCCACGAAGATTCTCAATGAATAAATATCTCCGGCTGAGTTTCCTCTTTGTTTGCGCTTTTGCAATGTATCTTCCATTTATTGTCCCTTGGATTCCTTTGAAACTTAAAGAGCAAAGCGTGCACAGAAGAACTCAAGGTTCCTGATTCCTCTCCTGTGTCTCCTCCCCCATGTTTCTATTTCTAAAATGCTTTAACTGAAATTCTTCTTTAGGAGTTTACATTTTGTGTAGCAACCATAACAAATTGTGAATTTTCACTACAAAAAAATGTACTTTTATAAAAACAAAGAACCAAACCCCCGTTGGTAAGTTTTCACTTACCATGTATTTATTACAGTTACAAATTTGACACAATAATCAGAAATGTTAATAATGTCACTTATTTTTAGGTGAAATTCTTAAGCAATTATACTGCCCTTTTTAGAGTAGCAGCCGTATTAGTCTGTATCCACAAAAAGAACAGGAGTACTTGTGGCACCTTAGAGACTAACAAATTTATTAGAGCATAAGCTTTCATGGGCTACATGCATCTTGGATGCATCCGAAGAAGTGGGCTGTAGCCCACAAAAGCTTATGCTGTAATAAATTTGTTGGTCTCTAAGGTGCCACAAGTACTCCTGTTCTTTTTGCGGATACAGACTTAACACGTCTGCTACTCTAAAAAGGGCATCCTAAAAAGGATGCATCCGAAGAAGTGGGCTGTAGCCCACGAAAACTTATGCTCTAATAAATTTGGTAGTCTCTAAGGTACCACAAGTACTCCTGTTCTTTATGCTGCCCTTGATATCTTTGAATATTAAACTTATGATAAGTTTTACACAGTTTTAAATTACTATATTAATAGATGTATGGGACGGATACCTACATTCATTTTTTTTGTAGTTACTGTGTTCTTTAATAGCTTTATGTATAGTGTATTTATATGTGTATATTTAAATATTAGTTGATTGAAACTTCATCTATTACTACTGTAATGTCTCTTCACTTCTCAGCTTTTTTAGATTTTATTTGTAAAAGAGAAGCAATAATGGGTGTCAGTTGTCCCAATGGTCTAATAACGTCACTTGAAAAAAAGCTTTATAGGGCCCAATTCCGCTTCCATTGAAGGTCAGTGGCAAAACTCCCATTCACTTCTGTGGAAGAAAGGAGTGCAATACTTAAAAGAAAAATCTTAAAAAAACAAA